GGTCACTGAAGCAGCAGAAGGAGCTCTGTGTGGTTAGCGGTGTGTCCACATAGGCCTGGCCGCCCCCCGCCCCCCCCCGCCCCCCGCCCCCCTCTCCGTACCGTCCGTTAAGAACTGTCCCGCCTCCGGGGCCCGCCCCGGGTCACAGAAGCAGCAGAAGGAACGCTGTGTCCTACCACCTCCTTTACTAACTGAGGCTCACAGACACCGAGAACTTTTCACTTGGGGCACACACCTGACGTGGGAGATGAGTCGTGAGGCCCCTGGCTTCTGAACCTGCAGGCATCTGTGTTAACAATACCCTTGTGACACCTATTTTGTTTTATTTTCATTATCTGAATGTTTTCTTCCAGCAACATAATACAGGGCAGCTAAGCCTGGCGTGACACTGTAAGATAAGCACCGGATTGCTAACCACACGTCAGTGGTGCAAACCCTCCACCTGCTCCTTGGAAACCCTGTATAGGATTGCTATGAGTCAGAACTGACTCAGCGCACTTCACAACACCACCAACAAACTAAGGGAAATGCTCTTTCTCTGTCTCTCCCGCAGCCGTGGCATATTCCTGAGGATTAGTTACTCCTGTGGCTTCACCTGCCGCTAATCTGCATGCTTCTATCCCTGAAGAAAGCCCTGGCTCCCCACTTCTGAAAATCTAGTCCTCAGGGAGCCCAGTTCTGCTGTGACACACACAGGGGCTCCCACGGGGCAGAATCTACACTGTGGCAGTAGCTCTTCTGGGCAGTCGGCCTCCAGAGCACCAAGGAGCTGCCGCAGGACCTGGGGCCGTCCTTGCACCAGCATCTGTGTGTGCCTTCAGTGGTTTGATGCCACCCAGACGCACGGTACTCAGAGAAGCTGGCTCTGACCTTTTGATCCGTTTTAGGAGCAGGCAGAACGGAGCACACGCAGTTCCCAGTATGCTATGCCTATGAATTTCACTGGCCTGAGTGCCAGGGGTGCTTGTGAACCTCAGTATTTCTCCAAGTGAATACAGACCTGTTGTGCATTGCCTACAGTATCACAGAACGGCAGCATCTGTAGCGAGGGGGGGAGTACTTCCAAACCCTGCGTCAGATGAAGTGTGTTTTGCTGTATAAGGATCCTGGCTTTATTGAATACCTCTGCCTTCTTTTTCGTTATTTTTTTTTTGTGTAATCGGATGCTGTGATTCTTCTTGGCAGGGTGTATCAGACACTCCTGTGTTTTTATATAAACTTTTAATACTTTGTATTATTCTGAAAGAAGATATAGACTTTTCATTAGACTTTATTCCATCAAGAATGAAATTTTTGTGAATGAGAATTCTCATAGTAAACACTTGTTAGCTGGGTACCTCTCTTCCTAAATGTCATGTGCAGCCAGCTCCCTGTCCCTCCCTTGTCACTGCTAGTTGCCATCTCATCCGGTTTGACTTGGCAGGGACCCCGTGTGTGCAGAGCAGAATTCTTCCTAGGGTTTGCAAGGCTGTGGCCTTTTGGCACACTCACAAAATCTCATGGATACACCTCAAATAGGTGCATCACTCCCCCTTTACAGAGAGATCCTGTTTGTCACAACAGGAGCGCTTTCCCCCGGTGACAGAATCAGCGTGGGTCAGTCTGTAGAGCCGTGAAAGCAGTCAGATGTCTGCTACCACACTCCCCATGGTGTTGCGTCAGTACGCGTTCACTCATGGTTGTGTAGTCTGCCTGCCTGTCACTAAGCCCACCGACGTTTGTGTGGGGGAAGGAAAGTTTGGCAGAGACCACCAGGATGCAGGGGAAGACCCTGGAGCTCTGGGGCCATCCTCAAAGAGGAGCATGGGCCTGGCCAGGCTGAGGGATCGGGCCCTTTGGGAGAGAGCTCAGAGGCTTTGCTCACAGGACGTGGGAGCCTTAGCTGATACTGGTTTCCTCTTGCATCTGCATTTACCACTCGCTCTTCCGGAATGTTCTCCCCATAGGTCGCTGCCATTAACCCGAACCACCCGCTTGCCCAGATGCCCCTGCCACCATCAATGAAGAACTGCATCCAGCTGGCCGCCTGCGAGGCCGCCGAGCTGCTGCCCATGATCCCTGACCTGCCGGCTGACCTCTTCACCTCTTGCCTCACCACGCCCATCAAGATTGCCCTGCGCTGGTGAGTGTCCATAGGGATCCAGAAGTGCAGGCTCTGAGGGCTTACCCTGGGTGGGCTCTGACTCTGAGAGCCAGAGGGGTTGGATTGCGCCTGTTGCTGTGAGTGTGGTTGTCAGCTTTGTGGATACGGAAAACACAGCTCCAAATCTGTGCGTTGGTGGTCTGGTGAGACTGATCACACCGGAGACAGAGCTTCTGACAGTCAAGGTCGTCATGCAAAAGTCTTGTCATTCCTCGTCTGAGCTGAAGTATAATCCTTCCATTTTTTCTTAGCAGTTCACTTTTGTAATACCACCCCTGTCCCCAAGAAGCTCAGCACACCCGTGACTATAGCTGAGGAGTCTACACCCTGACAGGGCGCGCAAGAGCCATGTGTGTTTCTCAATCCCTGGCTACACTTGGCTGTAAAGCTTAGAGAGCTAGCCATTGTCCCACCACTCAGTAAGTCCATGTCCATGGGCTCCCAGGGCCACGCAGCTGCTAACCCAGAGGTTTCAATCCCCCCAAGAAACAGCACAGCAGAAAAGCCCAGTGACCTGCTTCCAACAGGCCTTGGGAAGGCTGAGGAGCAGAGCTCTGCTGTGACCTGCCTGGGGAGCTGAGGCCAGGCGACACTGTCTCGGTTTCCTCAAGAACAGAGCTGTTGCCCGTCTGTCTCAGTCATCAGTGCTGCAGTGGCAGAAGTGCCAATACAAACGGGGACGCTTTAACACACAAGTCTCCTCACCTGTGAGCAGCGGGTGCGGGTTCTGGGGTCAGCTCTGGAGAAAGGCCCTTGTCTCGGCTTCACTCGATTGTCCAAGCCCTTTAGTGTTTGATACTTAAAGTGGACTCGAGACACCGACACTAAGTTGGCCCCAGTCACATAGCACAGACAGCCACTCCCAACTGGGATGAGAACACAGGCATGGAGGTCAGAATGTACAGCATCTGGTTTTGGGATTTGCAATCACATCCATAACAGGTGTAGCTGGGGTTTCTACTGAGGTGGTCTGGAAACACAGCTTCCTGGCTCATGCCCCCACAGCCCTCGGGAACTGACAACAATAGGCCATGGGGACCAATGACCACAAGAGCAAAGTGACCCCAAGTGACCCGAGCCTGAGTTATCTTGAGCTACCAGAGCCAGCTCATGGGGACCCAGGCAGCAGGAGCAGGCAGATCAGACACTGTGAGCCACAGGGTTTTCCTTGGCTGATGTTTGAAAGTAGATCTCCAGCCCTTTGCTCCTACTCCATCTTAGTCCAGAAGTTCTGTTGGGGAGGTGAGCTGGGGTCCCTGCATGACCCCTCTTTGAGCTACCAGGCCGAAGAAAGCTACACTTCCTGTGTGACCTCAGTGTGTCATGTGTGGCCTTTCGGCTGCAGCAGCGATCCTGCTCTCTGAGGTGGGCTCCAATGAGGACCCCAGGCTGAAGGGTCCGTGATACGGGAGCCTCAACTCTTCACTCTAGACCCCCTCCCAAATCCCAGGGCTGGGACCAGCCTCCAGGGGAGGCCTCCCTCCAGTTTACTGATTCGTGAATATTAGAGACACCAAGGAGTGTGGTGGGGACAGCCTCTTCCTGTTCATGCCCCCGCAGCTTCACAGGAGTAATGTGAGGTGGGTGGGCTGAGGGCAGTGGGACTGACACTTCATCTCCCGGCCAGAAGTAACCTTGAGGCATTTAAGTAGAGGAAGAAGCTTCCAGAAAGAGAATCCAAGAAACTTGACAGGGCTGGAGTGAAAATGGAGAGTACGGCGGCCCCTCCGCACAGCATTCCCACAGCTGCTGCAGACCAGGGCCTCCCCTGTCCCTCTGTCCCCACACCCTGTCCTTCCCCTACCTGTACAGACCAGGGCCTCCCCTGTCCCCTCTGTCCCCACACCCTGTCCTTCCTTGAGTCAGAGGGTTTTGCTGCCTCCACACACAGGCTGTCCCACAGAAGTGCACTCACTCTGAGACCAGCCAGCCTTCATTGTGTCTAAACGGAGCTCGGCTCTGTGATCAGGTGGACTTTCTCTGCTGTGAATTACCACCCTGGCAGTGACCTGAAACCCTTCCTAGGGGGAGACTATCATCTAATTTTTTCAAATTAAGTATTTGATAAGAAGAGCTGCAAAAACTAATCAAACTAATGCAGTTAGCATATGATGAGCTTTGAAATCAATACACCGCAACGGCACAGTGCTGGTATCAAATCACTGCAGACCAGTGCAGCCAGCTCGGTCCCAGCTGGTGGCTCTCTTACAGACACGTGACGTTTTCCTGAGTGTCACGAGCCTGGGACAGACTCATCGAGTGACACAGGCCTTCTTCATAACGCTACCAGGTTCTTTAAATGGACCGTGAGACCATTTGTCGTACAGTGTGTGTACAGTGTGTGCTTGCATCTTTAGGGGTGAGGAAAATGAGTATTTCCAGTTAGAGCTATAATGTGCATTCCTGCTAGACAGTTGCCCAGATCTCACTGTGTGCTAGCTGTTCTGTATCATCTTTCCATTTTCTTGTCTGTGTGTGCACACGTTTGTTTATACCACTTCATAGTCTCAAACCTTAACGATGTGAACCATTCTCCTAGAACAGTACAAGCTCTTAGCTCCATGATACCTCGATGCAGGGAAGCTCTGTGTGATCCTCACACAACACTTCATGCGTTCGGATTTCGATCCCAAAGTAGAAATACAGAAAAGTGAGAGTGGATCTAGAATGTCGGTGTTGGGTGCTGTCTAGTTGACCCTGACTCACAGTGACCGCATGTGACAGAAAGTTACCCCCGCCGTTTCTAAGGGCGGTCATCTTTACGGAAGTGGATCACTAGGTGGCTTCAGACCTCCAGCTTCAGTTACCAGGCACTTAATCACTGCACCACCCAGGCGTCTTTGCCCGAGAATCAGGGTCAGTAAGCTTTCTCTGTAACCAGCCGGATAATAGACGAGGCTCCAGAGGCCCTCTGCTCCCAACTCTGCCACGGGAGCACAAAACAGCCATTGTTGTTAATGCCATCAAGTCCGTTCCAACAACAGTGACCCTGTACAGGGCTTCCAGGGAGCACCTTGTGGTTCAAATCGACTTTGCAGTCCAGTGCTTATCCTACAGAGGCATACCAGGACTCTAAAACAGCCATAGGCAATATGTAAATAAATCATTCTGTCAACTTTCAATAAAGCGTGATTTAGAAAAACATTGGCCTCTGTGCCACAGTCTACCGATTCAGGCTTGGTCTTCGGCACATGGCCACTGTGCCCGCGGTCAGTGTGCAGCCCACACCCCTGGTGGAGATGAGGCTCAGCTGGGCTGGCTGGTTTGGTGGGTTCTCCATTGCAAATACAAGAGGGTTTCCAGTGATGCTTTGCTTCGTGGTGTAAGGCTCGGTTGCACACTCTGCATATTACATATACGTTTGGTGGCACATTTATAAAGCCAATTTGATGGTGTGGTCTTGTGGAGTGACCATGCCCCCTGGTAACTCATTTTTGCCTCACTATCTCACATTTTCAGAACCCTACCATTTCCCTCCAGCACTTCCACCGGCCCCTGTAAATGATTTCCTGCTCTGTACCACATAGACGAAGGTGGACGAAGACTCCAACGTGTATTTTTCCTTGGGCTGTTGGCTGCTGCTTTGACTGAGTGGTATAATATCATTCCAGATTTATGATGGGTACATTTGTGTACTGCTGGATATTGTAGCTCAGTGGGGCTTAATTTGCCACGGGACCTGCCGTGCTGGAGATGGATGTCTGTCGTATTACACAGCATGCAGCTGTTTGTCCATTAATGAAAATGACAGGCGTGCGTCTGGAGCGGGGCGGGGGCGGGGTGGATGTCAGGAAGCCTGGTTCTTTGCCTTCACTTGACTTAGGGAATGTCAAGCAATTAAAGTGCTGTGTGTCCTGCCAGGGTGTGAGTTTACTCCGATTCCCCAGCCGCAGGTGAGGTGCCCAGCTCCTTCCTGCCCTCCGTGGCTGGGCCAGGCAGCCTGCTGTGCTTGTCTTGTTCCCACACTTGCTGTGACATTTCCGTTGTCTTTCTGGGAGACTTAACCCCCCCTGTTTGGCGAGGACAGTGTCAGCCACTGGTCCTCCGCAGTGTTGCTGGGTGGCTCAAGTTGACCTCATGTGATGGGGTTCACGGGGCCTGACCACGAGGTCTTCCTCCCTGGAGCTGCTAAGTAGGTTCAAACTGCCAACCTGCCAGCAGCCAGGCGCTTGATCATTTGTGCCACCAGGGTCCCTTTGTTCTCTGTTGTTGTTCAGTGCCGTTGAGTCCATTCCAACTCAGTGACCCTGTATAGGGCTTTTGAGAAGTGGCTGGTAGGTTTGAACCGCTGACCTCGTGGTGTGGCGCCACACCAGGACTCCTTGTTTTCTGTAGAGTCTTCTTTGCTTACTGGAGACAGACCTTCTACTGCCACGTGGGGCTCTGCTGGGCGGCTCCCCTACAGCACGACCACCTGTGTCCACTGTCAGATGGAGCTGTCTCACCCACTTAGTTCCCAGTAATGCCACACACTCCATCCTTGACCTTTGTGTGCTTGTTAAGTGCCATGGAGTTGGTTCCAATTCATAGTGACCCTGTATTTGAAACTGACCTTGCAGTCCAGTGCTTTATGCCACAGCCCCACACCAGTGGTAGTGGAGCTTACTTGGAGTTCATCCAAACGGTTGTTATCAAAAAGTCTTCCCGATGGGGCCGTGGCTATCGTGTGCCACCCCTCTGCTGTGGGACCCTAGGAATTAGGAGCAGCGACTACTGAGGACCCCCAAACACTCTCTGGTTCTGTGACGTCGCATGTTACCCCTGGACGTCCACTCCCTGAACTAGGCAGGTACTCCACTGCTGTAACCCCTGGACATAACGCTCACCTGATTTGTAAGGGAGCAAAGATGGCGGTGCCCATATGTCTGATTTCCGCCAGCCAAAGAGCAAGCAGGACCAGATGGGTGACCTGGGCTGCCAGGCCCCCTTTGCTCCCTGTCGTCCTTGGCATGCCACCAGGAGACAGTGAGATGGTGGTC